AAACGGGTTGTATGATACTTTACTCGAGAGAATCAAGCGGCGCCACTCATCGGGTTTGCTGATTCAGACTGGGCCACCGTCAGCATCGGACCGGAAATCAGTAAGCGGATGTTTTCCGTGTTTTCGGATGTACTATTGCGTGGTCAAGCAAGCTGCAACTTCTTCAAGCGAAGCTGAATATGTAGCGTTGAGTGCTGCAGCATTGGAAGCAATATGACTAGTCGGTGTTCTGCCGGTGCCAAACACATCGACATTAAATACCATTTTCTTCGTGATCATGTCGCTGCTGGTAAGCTATTGATGGAGCCGATTGCCAGCAACAACCAGTTGGCTGACTTCTTCACTAAATCGTTGGACGTCGGACGATTTGAGGAAATTCGGACGATGCTGGGACTATCCAAGCGAGAGGGGGTGAAATCCTCGGTGAAATCAAAGTAGTCGTTGGATTACCTGACCTGGTCACTCCTGCTATTTTGTGCTGTCATTCCAATTCAAGAGCTCAATGTGAGCAATTCAAGTTTGCTTTAATAAAACATTATTTTGTTCGTTAAGTCTCGGCCCGTTTATTATTGCCCCGTCCTGTCCACGTAGTTCCTTCAATGATACTGTTCTTAGCAGAGTGGATCAAGTGACGGATCTTGGTGTAGTATTGGACTCGAAGCTTTCCTTTCATTCCCATTATGCGTCGATTATTTCCAAGGCTAATCGTCAACTTGGCTTCATCTCTAAGATTGCCAAGAATTTCACGGATCCATACTGTCTAAAAGCATTGTATTGTTCAAAATGCTTCATTTGTATGAGCTCCAAACGACGTAACATGGAACATAAGAATCGAGCGTGTGCAAAAAAGATTCATACGGCTTGCGCTCAGAAACCTACCGTGGCGTGATCCTATGAACCTTCCAGCGTATCCCGATAGATGTCGTCTGCTTGACCTCGAAATGCTTGATCTAAGACGTAAGCTACAACAGGCTACGTTTATAGCTAAAATACTCAACGGTGACGTCGATTGCCATCACCTTCTGTCTAGTAGGATGTTACGTCAGCAATCCCTGATGCAACCGAGCTTTCATCGTACTCTCTATGGCTACATCCAGCCTATTTGTGCAATGGTTCGTATGCTTGTATCCGTGGAGTCTGCGTTTGATTTTGGTATGGCCACACCTCAATTTGTAAATAGAGTAAGAAGATTGAAGCTTATTGAAGATAATGAATAGTGTATTCATTAAGACAACTTTGTGAGATGGATTATTAAATAAATAAGAGCTCTGAAATTCCCTGAAGTTCTTGCTACTCTTCTGATGATGTTCCTGGATTTGCTCTGAAATTAATTAAACTGCCGTCAAGATCTCTAAATGTTCCGACCTGATGTCTGCACTTCCATGAATTTCTCGCAACTTCTGAGAAGTTTCTCATTTCTAGCGTTCAGAATCATAAGGACCTAACTGCGATGATCGATTCTTTTCATCGATTTTCTCTTCGTATTGTCACAGTTCAGTGAACTAATTTTCCGAAATAATCAAAATACAATGTAGTGAAAGGTTGTATAAGCAAGCAAAAGCAACATCAAACGCATCGAGAAATGCTATTCTAGTGGAGTTATTAACGTAAGAGAAAATCTATGAAGAGAATCGATCATCGCAGTTAGGCCCTTATGATTCTGAACACTAGATTTTAAATTTTTGACTATCTTTAAAACTTCTAGAAGGTTATCGCAATTTCCTGATAGACTGCCCGAAGTTACGTAACTTCCCTTAAGATATTTAAACTCAACTGAAGTTTTAGAAACTTCTGTAAAGATCCTGCATTTTTTACTCAAATTAATAGAACTGCCCAAAGCTATTTGTTTTCTAGACATTTTCCTGAAATCTATGGAACTGCCTGAAGCTATCGCAACATACCCTACCAAGATCTTATAACTTCTTCCGGAGTGGCCATGTCCACGAAACTTCAACAGAAGATGTAGATAACTGGTAGGGCAGGTGTAGCAACCGGTGGAAACTTTCGATTTTAAATTGGCTCACTACTCGACTAGCCTATTGATCCCAAGCAAATCGATTAACGTACCCCATTCTAGTAAAAATTCTAGTACTAAACAATGTTTGTTTTGATTCGCTATGAAAGTTTGACAGATAAAATGAGGGGTTAGTGGATTTTCTTATGTTTCGAGGGGTGAATCGATTAGCTTAGGACCGAAGAGAGTACCAGGGCTGAGCCAAAAAGTTGAGCACGTTTCTTCGGGACCTTCTGGTCTTAGAGTTACCTCTATGGTTGTAGTCTAAGAGGAAGAGGTGACAATTGGCTTCTTCCTCTTTTATTTATATCTCTATCTCTATCTCTATCTTACGCACATGAAATCGTCCAATCAGGAGCTGGTTCACGTTTGACAGAAAAGTGGTTCATTTTCGCCCGCGTATTGTCACCTCTTCTCTTAGGTTGTAGTGGATCATATCGTATCGTGAGTTTCGCAAGAACTCAATTTACAGTGTCTTTGAGGACATGCTCCCAGTGAAGTTGCTCAGCAACTTTGGGTACAAATCCGATCTTGTTGATGTTACTTCCCATGTACTCAAGATTTACTAAGCTTACTTTTGAAGTTCTCCTGAAATGACCCATTGGGTTCTCTAGTCTTACACTGGATCAAAAAAGCAAAATGGCTAAAGCTTACAACAGGACATGGACACCACAAGTCCTACACCAACTGTCCAAATGGGGTCTTGGAGGAAATATTCTCTACTTTCTGAGGAATTACCTACAGGACAGGACATTCCAGGTGACCATCGGTAATCATCGATCCAACACCAGGCGAGAGGAGACTGGAGTTCCACAGGGCTCCGTAATTGCTGTCACCATCTTCTTGGTGGCAATGAACGGAATCTTTGTGGGACTGCCAAAGGAAATATACATCCTGGTGTATGCGGACGACATCTTGCTCCTAGTAGTCGGGAAAACTCTAAAAGCAATGAAGGTAAAATTGCAGGCGGCGGTCTCTGCGGTTGGTAGATGGGCCGCCAAGACAGGATTTGCGATATCAGCCGAGAAAAGCTCGGTTTCCCATGTCTGCCGGCATGGTCACCGGCCACTACCGACCCCGATTAGGATCGACAAGCAGGCAATCCCCAGGAGGAAATCCATCTCCATACTAGGAGTCACGATTGACCGAAACTTCCGGTTCGGCCCCCACCTCAACGAGGTCAAGGCCAACTGTCGAACAAGACTAAACATCCTTCGCTCCCTATCCGGTCCACACAAGGTGAACAACCGAGGTATTGTGATGAACACCGCCAGATCCATCGTCCACAGCCGACTGACATATGGAATCGAACTTCTATGTGCGTCCAGCGACTCCATCATCTCCCGTCTTGCACCGATATACAACCAGGCTACTCGGATTGCAGCTGGTCTACTGCCATCAACACCAGCCGACGCCGCATGCATTGAGACCGGAACACTACCGTTCCGGTTTTTCATTGCGGAGTCGGTTTGTACGAGAGCCGTGGGACTCGACGAGCAACTCAGCGGAGACGGAGATTTCTATCTCCTCTCGGAGGGGAAACGAATTCTCCAAGAGACCGCCCACCAGGAGCTCCCTCCAGTGTCTAAACTCCACTGGGTCGGAGCCAGGGAGTGGGATGCCTCCCCCATCCGATCAGACAGAACCATGGCCAACCGATTCAGAGCAGGGGACAACTCGGCGGAAATGAGAACCTGCCTCACCGAGCGACTGAGAACGATGTACCATAACCACCAACTCCGATACACCGACGGATCGAAGGCTAGGGGCAGAGTAGGTTTTGGAGTAACTGATGGCCGAACATCCCATTTCTGGAAACTCCCGGACCAATGCTCGGTCTTCTCAGCAGAAGCAGCAGCCCTACATTACGCGGCCTCCCTACCATCCTCCTCCCCTCTATGCATACTCACGGACTCCGCCAGCGCTCTGGCTGCATTGGAATCTTCCACTGCACGCCACCCGTGGATTCAGGCCATCCAGAAGCACACACAACCCGGCACCACCTTCATGTGGATACCGGGCCACTGCGGAATCGCCGGTAACATTGAAGCCGACCACCTCGCGGCCATCGGACGAAGCGACCGTCTTGCCCACAAGTCGGTCCCCAGACAAGACCTGAAAGTCTGGATAAAATCTACCATCAGGTCAGCATGGGGCAACGAATGGAACAGCAACCAAGAGCTTTTCATTAGAAAGGTCAAAGGGGAAACGGCCCCATGGACGGACACCAAAAGTTACGCGGAACAGAGAATACTCTCCAGACTTCGAACCGGTCACACCCGGATTACTCACAACATGGGAAGCAGCAGCGGTGGAGGCTTCCGGAGGAAATGCGACGCGTGCCGAACAACGATGACGGTTGAGCACATCCTTATCAACTGCCCGTGTTTCCACGGATCACGGGAGTTGTACGGTATGGCCGACAACATTCGGGACGTCCTCCAAAACGACCGGTAGCGGAAATCCAACTCATCTGCTTTACGAAGGAAGCAGGAATCTACAAAAATATTTAAAATACGATATTGACAGCAGGCCCGGCAACCCTGCCGGCAGCGGCTGCCAGGGTCACCTGGCAGTTTCTGCCGGTGGGGCTCTACCGGGGTCCTGAATTTAGTCACTATAACACGAAAAATACTAACACTAAGTGCTTAGCATCCTTCTACGGATTCTGAATCCTAAACAGGTATTCCTCGATATAACGTAACAGTCACTTTTGACTTCCATCGTCGATATCTCACAAATAACAATTCAGTCATATAAATTAGCATGACCAATGCTGTTATTACTTTGTTTGATTTAGTGATTGTTAACTAGAAATCAACGACGAACTGTTATACGTAACATCGTATTGTGTTTTCGTTTCACGACATCTCTCGTTTGCACTCTAAATCAGAACACATCATGTGTCTTCTTCTTTATCTCACTATAATCCAACTCAATACTGATATATTCCAAATAAGTAATCGTTCCCCCTCTCCCCCCACAGGTGGAGTGGCCCTGGTGTACGTCAGCCAACCGATGGACACGGTCAAGGTGAAAATGCAAACCTTCCCAACGCTGTACAAAAACATGATCGACTGCACCGTAAACACCTTCAAACGGGATGGCGTCGTGCGGGGTCTGTACGCCGGAACCCTTCCGGCCGTGGTGGCCAACGTTGCCGAAAATTCAGTATTATTCGCTGCCTACGGAGCGTGCCAAAAACTGGTAGTGATGGTGGAACGGAAATCATCCGTCGCCGAACTGACGGCCCTGGACAATGCCACGGCCGGATTCGTAGCGGCCTTCTTCTCGTCCTTCACCCTCTGCCCAACGGAACTGATCAAATGCAAACTGCAAGCCCTCCGGGAGATGCAGCAGAACAATCTGAAACCGAACGAAAAGGTCCCTAAGGTTTCACCCTTCCTGCTGACGCGGCAAATTCTACGATCCGAAGGCATTCCGGGTATGTTCCGCGGGTTGACGTCAACGTTTGCGAGAGAAATGCCAGGGTACTTCTTCTTTTTCGGCGGATACGAGGCAACACGAGACCTTTTGGCAAAACCGGGACAATCGAAGGACGATATTGGACCGCTGAAGACGATGGTCGCAGGAGCAGTCGGAGGGGTGGCCCTGTGGACGGCAATCTTCCCAGCGGATGTGATCAAAAGTAGGATACAGGTGCAAAGTCTGAGGCTCAGCATGACCCAGGTGGGAGTGGATATTTTCCGAAAGGAGGGAGCACTTGCATTCTACAATGGACTGAAGCCGACAATTGTTCGGACAATCCCGGCCACGGCGGTTCTTTTTGTCGTCTACGAGTATACGAAAAAGCTGATGAACGAGTTGTTTGTATAGAATTTCTTGTTTTAGTTATTAATCTATTGCGGCCTTTATACGGGTTAGAAATAAGTAATAAAGCAACAACGATCTATTGTAGAAATGGCTGGTTTGAGTTGTTATTGGGACTACGTACCTTCTCCTATCGCTTGCCCAACAGCGGGTTTAGCTTATCGAACAAGAAAACCTCTTTTGCCTCCAGCGATTCCAACGGCCACTCATGCCACGGTATCTGTTTCGAAAGACAATAGCCATCAGCAATCCATCAATCAATGCAAAATTTGTCAAGTCGACATATCTAATGCTAAAACTCAAAACAACTTACCACCAATGTATCGTATCCGATAATCTGCAACTGTTTCAGTTTCATGGCGAAGCCGCCCGTAAAGCGGTTCTGATCCCTCACGTAACAGTTCCATCCTCCCGCGACGACAGCTATCAACCGCAGGTTCTCCTTGCTAGCCTCCTCCTTCAGCAGATACTCTCTGCTCAGTATATCTCCCGAGTACTGTTCCGGACAGTACTCACCCACATCCAGAAACTTCTTCGCCTTATCATCCCACAGCAGTAGAACATCCGGTCGCTGATAGTGCGGCAGCAGGTGTATTATATGAGCAAATTTATGTCGCCTATGAAAAGCGTCCTGAATCTCCATCAACATCCGGTCCGACTTGGTCAGCCGATGGTCCAAACTGGGAACGTAGTCCTGCGTCAGCTTGGCGACCACCTTGAACGACTTTTCAGGGTAGTAGTTTCCATTATACTCTCGATCCTTCAAGTTGATCCGCAAGAATGCATCCAGTGCTATCACTTCCCGGCCAGCTCCGGCCACGTTTCGACCGTAGGTCATGTAGAGGAAGCGCTTCTCAAAGGCGGCTGTTACCAGCTGCTCGCTGTAGATCTCCTTGAGCGAAAGAAAGTTCAACAGCGAGAGGTAACTTTTGGGGTATTGAGTTATCTCAGTAATCCTAGTGGGAAGCTCTTCAACGATCGCATTTAACAGAACAAGATCCTTATTACCCTCAAACGTCATGTTGTAATGACCGATGATGAACGCTATCCGTTCCATGTCCTTCAGTCGCATCAGCTTTATATCTTTGGTAAACCGTTCAATGATGACTGCAAGACTCGCCTGGTGGCACATGTGGATGTCCGATCCGAGCAGAGCCAAATGTAGACAGCAGAAAAGTGACAATCTTGGAATCTCCGGAATGTACGCCGTTAACAGTCGTTCCATCGATGATGCCTGAGGAATCCTTGAAGAATATCGCAACAGTTTCAAAATCGCTGCCAAGCTTATGTCCTTTACATCCTTCGCGTGATGGGTCACAAGGTGGTAGATCCTTTCAATCAGCTCCGCACTCCTGACAGGAGTCTTAGTCTTGAAGAATCCCATGCAAAGAATCGAGATGTCATCGATTTCAAAGTCGAAAAAGTTCCTCTTCAGATTGAACTCAATATCTATCATGTTCTCCACCGGCGTCCGCGTCAGGTTGATATAGAACACCGTCCGAACCAGTTGATCCCGCGGAAGCTTCCTCAACCGGGAGCTAATCTTCCACATAGCCTTCCCGACAAAATTGCCCACTTTTGTCACCCTCAGTGGGTACCACTGGTCCGCCATAAACAGCAACTTTTCCGTATTCCACTGTGATACCCGCCCAAGGCACACCCGATCCGCTGCATTCCAAATTTCCACAAAGTTTCTCGTGTCAACTGTCGGAATATCCGGTCCAATTTCTGCCAGCAGACGCAATGTCTCCACTAGTTCCTCATCGCTAAGCTCTGCCATCCTCCCAACTATCGCTTCCACAAAACCATCGAATCTCCTGTCGGAAATGCACACACCATCCCGCTTGCAAACATCCACCACCCGGTGAAACTGATCCAGAACATCCCGCACCGAGTACGACTCCCAATTGCCTACCTCGGTGAAATCCAATTCCTTTCCATCAATCGCCAATCGCTGTAGTGAATGCACCGCAAACTGCTGCTGTTGATGCTGCAGGATACTGTGGGCGAAGTCATTTTCCGTGTCGGAGAACTTTTTCACACGGAACACTCCGGATGAGTGCAACGCGGCTACCGGGAAACGTTTCGTTACATCACCACATTTCAGAGCCTTTACGCGGTTCACTGCCGACTGCACTCCTGCTCGCAGCGGATGGGAGACGATGCGCCTCAAGCACGGGGACAGCATCTCGAGGGTTTTACGTTGATTTCACGGTCGGAATCCGGGACATATTTTCAAGAAAAACGATGCCGAAAAAGTTACGCGAGGATGAAGACGGGGATCACAACAAAACGGGTGATAATATGCGCGCAAGCCGAATTTGACAGGAGGTTGCACCAATCCACGCACACATAATGCATTTTTTGAGAGCACGTGGACGATGCATTTCTGGGCCTTCAGGAACGTTCGGTTGACGAAGCGAAATGCACTGGTCCAGTGTGAACAGCAAGGTTCATTTTTTGTTTAGATAATTTGTTGTCACAAATTGAGCCTGAATTTGAAATTCCGTGCACACAAAATTTCTTAAATTATGTACTTTTTTTGCTGAATTCAATCTGTTTACCGATTGTTTTGTAAAATACTGTGTTTTACCGCTCTTCAGCATTTAAAATGATGAATTTCTGTAATTTTCAGAAAATTTACGAAAACTGTAGATGAAATTACGGATTGAAACTGTAAATGTTTGCAATTCCGTAGTAGTGCAAAAAAATTAACTATGCAAATAATGATTTGTGATGTAATTATACAAGTAAACTTATTCTTTGTTCGCTTTTTAAAAGTTGTTTACTGGGTTACGACTATAGTCGGTATATATATTCTTAAAATTTCTGGAAAGATCTCGAAATTCCTGAAAAGTTCTGAGAACTTTTGGAAAGTTTTCAGAATTTCTAGGGAGTTCTTGAAATATATTGAAAGTTCTGATAAGTTACGAGAACTCCCCAGAAGTTCTCAGAAGTTCACAGAATTTTTCAGGAATTCTGCAGTTTTTTCCAGAAATGATGAGAATTTCACAGAAGTTCCGAGGACTCCTCACAGATTCCGCGAAGATCCGAAAACTTACCAGAAATTTCCAAAAAATCCTACTGCCTCCCTAATAAAAACGTTATGGTTATTTAGCTTAATGACGTGTTTTGGGTATCATACAAACCATTTGGGGAATAGTTCTATGATTTAAGTTATAAGTTATAGTATTTTTATTAGGGCCGTCATTGCCACAGATAATGGGGGTGCCTAGGGAGTCTGGCCCCTCCAGAATGATCCAGGATCCCACCAGATTTTTTTTTTTTTTTTATTCTATTGCGAAGTTTTTCTTCAATTAGACTCCAGTAATTTTAATTTCGTTGTTCTCAAATTTCGCTTTCAATTTCGCTCTCACCAATCCCACCTTTTGGAACATATATCTAGATAGAGCTGGAATTAGGGCGTAACGGCTTTTGTAAACAATGACTTCTCTCGATGATTTCTAGAAAGCCAAGGCTCGCCCACTCAAATCAACGTCACTATTGGGTAGGGGAAGACTTCCTTAATAAACAAATACCATAAACGAACAATAACCCAAATAGTCAAACTTTTCCACAAATCGTTAAGCAAAATAATAACCATAACAAATTTATTAGGGTTATGTTGGTTGGCGTGAGCGTGCCTTGAGTTTCGAGAAATCATCGAGAGAAGTCATTGTTTACAAAAGCTGTTACGCCCTAAATCCAGCTCTATCAAGATATAACACTTGGTTTCCATAACATTTTTTCTGATGTTTACTTTTGACTCCTTTGTTCCAAACCAGCTGCTTAATCCTCTTCCAAAGACCTTTTTGACGTTTAATCGTCTTTTTCTATCTAAAACATATGGATGAATGGACGGTTTGTTTTCCCACTATAGAGAATAGTGACGTTTAAGGTGATTCCTTGAAGAGTCCACAAATGGCCTAGACTATACATGCACTTCCACTTCGAATTTTCAATGACTCAAATCTCGGAAATCGGTACCCCATTTCACCTGAAATTGCTACTTCATGTGTGCTGCAGTGCAGCAAACGTATAGTAGCAAATTGAATGTTGCACGTGTCGTAGATGCTGATATTTGTGCACTTAAAGTTTCGAAGTAGTTCCGAGAATAAGGATGTCACCGAGGATGTCACAGCAATTCACCTTAATGTACGCACACTAGCGGGAGCAACACCGTGTTTAGTTATTTATTGTTTTCCTCTGGCTAACCTAAAAAATGTATGAAAGTAGATCTGTCAAAATGAGTTTGACATCGATTTGTTATGCATTTTCCTCGGACATTCACTAACACGATCTCACATATCGCACCAATACAACCGGACGTGAAAATCTCTATTCTGTTGCCCTCTTGCTCGCACTCGTTCGATTTAAATGGTGCAGTAGTGTGCGCCGATTAAACGTCAAAAAGCTTTATAATGTTTACTTTTGACCTATAGTTGCTATATATTGACTACATTTTGGCCGGCACCGGTGGTGTAGTGGTAGGCGTGACTGCTTTCTCACTCCAATGGGTCTGAGTTCAATCCTAGCCGAGGTTAGTGGGCTTTTGAGGCATAAAAATCTCTGGTCACGTCTTCCTTCGGATCCTACGCAGGTGTGGAGGCTGCCTTACTGCACATTCGATTTCCGACGGAAATTTTCCTGTTGTAAAAATCAATAACTGTTCATTCCACAATCGCACTTCGTCTAGTACAGACGTTTAAATAAACCTTTCTCCGTTTTTTCTTGCTAAACCATATACTTCGTTTGGAGTCTCCCGTTTGTCCGTTCAAGATGTTATGGGCACCACCGCGAAGGACGTTTCGTGCAACATCCCGTTGCTGCGTGGAAGCGGAGCTGACTTCCAAAATTGGAGCTATCGAGTGCGTCTGTTCCTGGAAGCCAAAGGCGTCGCGGATGTGCTGACTGAGGTGGCTCCAACGGAACAAGCTGCAAAGAAGAAGTTTGAAGAAACGGACCGGATCTCGAAGGCGTTGCTGGTGGGTTTCCTGTCGGACGAATGCCTTGAGATCGTTCGAGAGAAGGCGACCACGAAGGAGATGTGGGTCAGTCTGGAGGCGGCTTATGCGAAGAAGTCTGTCGCGAGCCAAACGTTAGTACGGAAGCAGTTGGCTTGTTTGCGGATGAAGGAAGGGGACATGCGGACGCATCTTGAATTTGACGGGCTCGTGAGAACATTGAAGACGGCCGGAGCAACTATGGCGGAAAGTGATCTGGTGTCGCAGCTTTTCTTGACGCTTCCAGACTCTTTCGATCCCCTAGTCACGGCCCTGGAGAACGTCGCGGAAGAAGATTTGAATTTGGACCTCGTCAAGCAGCGTCTATTGGCTGAAGAAAGGAAGCGATCCGACCGGCAGGGCGATTCAGTTGAAGACAAGTTGGCAGCGTTCTCGGGTGACTCAAGATCCCAAAAGAAGTCCCAGAAATTCCTCGGTAAGTGCCACAAATGCGGGCGTCGCGGCCACATGAAAAAGGATTGTCACCAGCGTGAAGCCAATTCAGCGAAGAAGGATGCCATCAGTTTCATGGCCGATGCAAACATTGCGGAAAAGCGGCCTGGACGAATCCTTTTCAAGCTTGATTCCGGGTGCAGTGACCACCTGGTTGGCGACAAGTTCGTTTTTGCTGCCCTGAAGAAGATGACCTGTTGCGTGGAGATCAAGGTCGCCAAGGAAGGAGAAGCTATGCTTGCTGAACAGATTGGCGAAATCAACGTGACCAGCAACAAAGGTGTACATTTCAATCTAAAGAATGTGCTCTACGAACTACGTGAAAACCTGATATCCGTCAGGAAGATGGCCAATGCTGGGATCGATGTCTTGTTCTCTGGAAACGTAGCAGTTCTGAAGAAAAGTGGTAAGTTACTGGCCACTGGACACCTTCGAGGCAGCCTGTACGAGCTTGAGCTATCGTTGGAGGAAGTTGAAGCGAACCATTGCGAAGTATCGATTGGAAACCTGTGGCATCGTCGACTGAGGCATATCGGCCAACGCGGATTGAAGACCATGACCCGGAAAGGAATGCTAAAAGGTATGAATGAAAAAACAACCAAAATTGATTTCTGCGACGCCTGCGTGCAAGCCAAGCAATGCCGAGAACCGTTCAACAAAACGCGAGCTAGGGCCAGCCGGCCGCTGGAGCGGATTCATTCTGATGTTTGCGGACCGATCGATCCGCCGGCATGGGATGGTTCTCGTTACATAGTCAGTTTCATCGATGACCATACTCATTTCTCGATGATATATTTGCTGAAGCGCAAATCAGAGGTATTCGAGAAATTTCAGGAATTCGAAGCAAAGGTCACTGCTATGCTGGGAAAGTCCATTTCAAGAATAACGGTGGACCAGGGACGAGAGTACTGTTCCACAAATCAGATGCAGTTCTACAAGAGAAAAGGGATACAGCTAGAGTTCAACCGAACCTTGGTTGAAAAAGTCCGTTCCGTGCTCATCCAATCCAATGTGAAGAATCAGCTATGGTCCGAAGCAGCCCTCGCCTGCGTTTACTTGATGAACTGAAGCCCAACAAGTGCGTTGCCCTCTGGTGTTACTCCGGCTGAGATGTGGTTCGGTATTAGACCGGATCTGGACAAACTTCGTGTGTTTGGCTGCAAGAGTTTCGTGTGGATTCCAAAGCAGCAAAGGCGTAAGTTGGATGCGAAGAGCAAGGAGATGGTCATAGTTGGGTACGCTCCGAACGGCTACCGCGTGTGGGACCCGGTGGCTCGAAAGCTTACGATTGCTCGAGACGTCAAGTTTGATGAGTCGTCCTTCCCGTACGCTATGATGCAGCAAGAAGACGATGTCCCATTGACCGTCCACTTCCCGTTCGAGCAAGAGGGGGAACGTTGCCAGCCGGCCCCCACAGATGAAATTCGTGAAGCCAATAATGAACCTGAAATCAATCGAATTGAAGCAGAACCCGACGATGATCTTGAAGAACCGGTTGAAGAACCAGAAAATGCGCTCCCTTCGCCCACAGAAAGACGCGAAATTCCTAGTGAATTGTCGTCGAGGCATAGCGAACGGGAGCGCAGGCTCCCCGGTAAATTATTTGATTACTTTATCGGTTATAGAGCTATTTCTGGCGAATTGATTTCCGCAGATATACCCGAATCGTTTGATGAACTGCCGTTGCGTGCTGACCGAGCCATGTGGATGGCTGCGGTACGAGATGAGTTACGTTCCATGGAGGAGAACAAGGTCTGGCGTCTTACGAGCTGTCCGAAGGGAGTGAAGCCTCTGAAATCGAAATGGGTGTTTC